TGCACACACAGAGAAGATTCGCAGGTACATCCAGACACGCATGCACGCAGAGGGAAAAGAGAGCTTTTTATTAACTATGTCGCCGCCAAGGAGTCACAACAGGGGGACACCGACATGACACGCAATGACATCCGTGTGGCGTATGAGGAGGCACACAGAAGCTGAGTATAGCAGAGGTATTGTTATGCCAATTCCAACTCCCTCCCACCATACCATACCATGCTACCACACAGTACTATTTCTACGGCCCAGCGCATGCCAGGCCATTTCCTCGCCATGCCATGCCATGCCATGACTCACTCAGTGACATATCCCAGCCTTTCCGCCAAGGGAGCGATTCCAAGGAGAGAAAAGAGGAATATGTAGCCCTGCCGACATGGGGTGAGGGGAGTGTGAGGGGGTGGGGGAAGGGGAAAGAACAGGTTGAGTAGAGTGAATTTGGGGCAGGAAAAAATGGGGCAAGAGGCACTATTAAACCTCAGATTTTTACCAATCCCATTCCCAGTGTATTCACACCTTTCCCCATTGATGCTCTCTCTTTTCCTTGATCTGTGCTCCTCAAACAATGCCCCGAAATGTGGCCGCTACCTATCGATCGTTCCTTTCAAACTTCCCAAAGAATAAAGCAAGGGCTTCCGTGCCTCCTACTACGACCCATAAGGCACCTGACCTGATACGCCTGATTCCAGTTACTCCTATGACACCTGTTGCTTTTGTTGTGATTAGTCCAATGACTTATACCTCCTATCAGTCCCACTACTCTTGTGAATCTTACTGCTCCTATTACTCCTATGCCTCCTATGCATATTATCGCTCCTACCCTACGCCCGCAACTACCTGCGACACTTCCAGCTGCACGCACACAATGGAGATCACAACGAACGGCATCATTCAGCTAGTTTTGAGGCGCCTAGCCCCCACCCCCTCAATTACCTGCGACACTTCCAGCTGCACGCACACTAGCGATCACAATGAACGGCATCAGGAGCACGTTCAGCTACTTTTGAGGCGCCTCAAAACCAGCATCTTAAAGCCTCCACACCCTCCATTACCTGTGACACTTCCAGCTGCACGCACACAATCGAGATCACGATAAACGGCATCAGCACGTTCAGCTTTGACCCCATGAAAATCTCCGTAAGGCTCCTCTTGAAATACTCCTTCCATTCCTCCTCTGACAAACTCGACCCGAACCTTCCTCCGCTTCCGCTTCCCCCCACACTCCCTGCCCCCCCCTGACTCCCCCCACCACCGCGCTTCAGGATTCCCTTCAGCAACCCCCGCCCCTCCCCCCCATCCTCCTTTCCGCTCAAAAACCCCTCCGAGTCTTCCCCCGTGCTGCTGTCCCCCAAATCTCTCCGCCCTGGTTTCCGCAGCCTCCCCCTTTTCGTCTCCGCCGCAACCACTCCGCTAACCCCGCTTGCGCCGCCGCCACCGGTGGTAGCGTCGGTGGATGCGCCGTTGACGACGGCGCTAGTAGATGCGCCGGTCCTGGGTTCGACAGGTCGCAGCGCGCTTCCCTCCTCCTCGATTTCCGGAGCGGATGCGGAGGGCCCGCGCGGTAAAGTGGGGGCCATGGTGGTGCGCGTTGGTTACGGGTGTGCGTGGGATGCGGGGAAGGAAGGCGCAAGGTGTCAAGCTGATGGGAGAAAATCGGTGGAAAAGAGAGCACGGGCGTGCGCGCGGGTTCTTGAGAGGAATATGGCGGCTCTGACCGGTGTTAGAACAACATTGGATGGTGACGCTGGTGTGCAATGCGTTGCTGTTGCTGCTATTGTTGCTGGTGAATTAGCAGGAGGCCCCGACTATTCTTGCCTGGGGCAAGACGCGGTTGCTGCTCTTGTCCATCTCAAGAGCGCACAAGCACCGAGCAGTATGTCGATCTCCGCACACTGAAACACGCAACCGCTGCTTCCTTAAAGCCCCTTCTTTTACTGCTTCCAGACTGTGAGGGGTAGTGGGGAGTGTGGGTGAGAAAGGGAGGAGAGGATCGAAAAATAGGAGATTAGATTGGGAGCTTTGGTCGGCTGAAAGAAATGGAGAAGGAAGAATGAGTACCGGGATTGAAGTGCGGCATCAGCTCGTTGCATAGGAAGACACACGACCACGACCGAGACCCAGTACGGATCGGATTCACGGATTAATCACAGCGCTGCCCAAAAGATTGTCTGAAGATTCTGCACAGCAGCATAATCCTCACAATGCGTGCGCAGATTCGATTTCAGCGGAGTTACCATCGGCAATGGAAAGAAACAAAGACGAAATCGAACTGTCGAAATGGTGACAGCACGGACGGACCTTGACTGGCGGGTCACGGAAACGAAGTCATCGGCGCGTTGGGAATGAGTCCGCCGTTCCTTACGCAACGACGTGAGATGGCCGCCTCGAAGGGAACCAGGCAGGTAAATGCTAGAGTTCGATCACACTCCAGTCTCGAGCATTGGTCCCACGCAGCTGGATCTCGATTGGTCGTTACTTATCTGGCGACCCTCGATGCTCGAGCATTGATCCCACGCGCTGCTCGAATTGCACCCTCTCGTTCGAGAAATTTTCGGACGGAAATTTGCTGCGAGGGTCAATGGCGGCGGCTGAGCCGATTGTTCAATGCTTCCTCCTCACACAATTGCTAGCACAATTGGGCACGATAGCAGATTGTATCATGGATTGCACTGATGCGGATGCACGGCCCAGTTCGATGCGCAGGTACATGAGCATAAAGAATTTCGGAGTGCGATAGCGGAGCGGAGTGGAGGGAATTTCGGCTGCTGGTGATTGATGGATGAACTTGTGTGGCTGTGGAGTGTGCGAATTGAGAGGGGAGGGAGTGGGGGAGGGGGCGGGGAGGGAAGAGAGGAGAGAAGAGCGGGAGGCAGTGGGAAAGGTGGGTGCGGTGCGTAGGCAGGCGGCGAAAGTAACGGATTTGAAAGCGGGGGGGAGGGGCGGAGCGGAGCTGGCACTTCAAAATCCCCCCCTGAACCCAGGACCTTGGCGACCTGACCAACCAGCCACCCACCAACCAACAAATCCCAAGGTGCATGACCCTCCAAAATCTGTAAGGGGGTGGTCCCTCCCTCCCCCCACACACAATCATCTTCCCCTCCCCCCACCCCATCCATGCCACGAAGCTCGACCAATGGCGAAAGGCTTGGCTTGGCTGTGAGGCTGGGCTAAGCCAAGCATCTACACTAGAAAAGCGCTTATAAACTTATGACAATTATCGCCAAAATGTGAAACCACGTGTAGAATTGAGACGAAGCTAAGCCCTGACCTATAGATAGTGGAAATTGGAGATTCGCATCAGAAAAGAAATATTTCCATTTAAACCTGTATGAGAAGAACAGCAACAGCAACCAATCCCTGTTGCTACGTCCCTCAACTCTTCTCAGATGTGGCTTGGCTCAAGTAATAGGAATAGGAAGGTACGGTGCTGCCGCTGGAAGGTTCTGGAGTTTAGTTGGGAGATTCTGATGTGTAGATAGGAGAATCTGACGCGTTGCTGGAAGAGTCTGAAACGTAGCTAGGAGGAATATCCGACACGTAGTTGGAAGGTCCTGAAGCATCGCTGGAAGAATCTGAAATGTCGCTTGAAGATTCTGCAACATTGCTGGAAGATTCTGAAGCGTCGCTTGAAGGTGTTGTGGTGGTCGAAGATGTGGTGGTGCCGGACGTAGCTGTGGAGGTGCCGGACGGTGCTGAGGTGGTGCCAGACGGGGTTGTGGTGGTGCCAGACGGGGTTGTGGTGGTGCCGGATTTTGCTGCTGGCACACAGGTGCCACCGACTGCATTGTAGCCCGCCTTGCACTTGCACTCCATTTCAGTGCCACCTGTGCGTCAGGCAGACTTGGCGTTGGCAGGGCAGCCTGTAGTGACGCACGAGGCTTCTGCGGCACAGGCAAGGAGAGAGAGGGCAGGTGAGCATACCGGTCCATCCGGACAGGGAAGCATTCAGAAAGAGGAGAGCAGGCGAGGTAGTGCGGAGGAGAGAGTTGCGGCAACGAGACCATGCTGAGCAGAGCGAAACCATGCGAAGCTTACTGGAAGGCAGGCATTTGTTGTTGACCGCGCTGTAGCCTTTCTTGCACGCGCACGTCACTGCCGCGCTGTCGTCGGTGGGTGGGGTGCATGTGTTAGAGCTAGCAGGGCAGCTCGCATACTGACACAAGTCCTCTGCAGCACCGCGCCGTGCGGAAAGGGGAAAGGGGGAGAGGGGAAATCAGAGATGAGGTGCGGCAACCCACCCACTGGTGTCGTGCACTCTGCAGCGCAGCCAACTGGGCTGTGCAGGTAAGGGTGCGATGTGTGAGAGAGTGAGTGAGTGAGTGAGTGAGCGAGAGAGAGATAGCGACTTTGCGTGGAGCAAAAAGGAGGAGAGGCGGGCGGGGCAAGGCAAGAGGGGACGCACCTATGAGGCAGAGAGCGGACCTCGATTTCTCGGAGATTTACTTCTCACTGCACACAGGGGGAGGAGGGGCTCCACGAGTTAAACAATCGTTGGTCAGGTGGTGGAGAGAAACGAGCGGCATCAAGAGCATACGAGCATGGAAGCAAGGCGAGCAAGAATGGAAGGCGCACCTCTGTCGGCCATTCGCGAAAACGTCCAACGTCTGTCCTTTGCACTCAGGACCCTGGAAGAACCGGATCGCGCGGCACACAGCCTTGCCCGTCATGCTTGCTTATTTCCACGGCACCACCACCCGCGTCGTCTGAGAAGGCGGCATGGTAGGAAAGGTGACACATCGGCGCGACGAGGAGGTTAATCCGCGCCCGTTGATCGCCATCGTCGTGCCAATCGGCACTAGGACCGATACGCTCGCTGCTGCTTGCGACGGCTGCAGGAGACACGCTGCAAGAGAGGGGCATGTGACACATGAGGGGCACGGACGAAGGTGCGAGTTCGTTTGGGATCCATCGCGTGTGCACGCTGTCGTGTGGTGCATTGAACGCACGACGGCGTGAGCACGATGGCGCATGAGAGCACGCGGCGAGAGACAGCGGAGCGAATGACGGAGCGTACCAGCGATGACGGCGACGATGGCGAGCAGCGCACGCACGGCCTTGCCATTCCCCATGCTGCTGATTCCGGCGGACGCCATTCGCTCTTCGACCTTGATCGCCACGAGCAACCCGAGAGCAGGAGTGAGCAGCGGAGCAACCCGAGAGAAAGAGGTGCTAGAGGGTGATTGGTGCTAACTGGTGTAAAGCAGAAGAGGTGACGAGAGCGATCGGACACGGATGCTTAAATGGGCATCACACCGAGCCTACTAGCGTGCGGCGCATCATCCGCTCACGGAGCTCCTGCGCGAGGCTGGAGGGACCTCTTTGGCGGGACGCAGCCCGCGACGGGGCAACGCCTTGGCCATGTGCGACTGCTGCGACAGGAGTCCCCGGAAGGAACGCGTTGCTTTAGGCGCCATTGTGGGCTTCGATTGGGCGTTTCCTGGCTGTGTGCGCAAGCAATAACGACTAGGGATGATGAATCGCGTCACATGGATTTATTGTAGGTAAGTCAGACACCTCACTGTGTTGACGTTCTATGTAAGGTCCGGACGATGGCGACTCCATCGCCAAAATTCTGCGAATCCTCTCACGAGCATTAGCGAATCCGTAACCATACCGACGTGCGGACCTCGCTCGGTTCGGATGGAAAGGATCCAAGTTCACTCTGCACAAATGGGAGTTTGATGAGGAACGCGTTGGACTGGCTTGGTTGGTGGGGAGGTGGAGAGGTTGGCGAAGAAAAGTTCAGCCCATGAAAGGTGTTGTACGCGGTGGAATCAGATGTGTAAAATTGAAAAACGCCTTACATATCGGCTCAGTACATCATTACAAGCACTCCAAAAAACACACCGGATTGTAAAGGATCACACCACGGCGAGGATTTGCGCCGCCTGGAACTGCCACCTTCGTCCAAACGTTGTCCCGGGTGGCAAGGGAAGCTAGCAACCATAACGAGGGTTTGGTAGTTTTTTACCGCGGCAGTCCTAACTCATCCGTGTGGCTCCGAAGCTAACATGTCAAAAAGGTGTGCTGCATTTCAGGATTGCTCTTTGAGTGAAAGACTACTAAAAACGGGACACCCCTCTTGAAACTGTGATTTCTTCTGCCTAGGTTTACGTTCCCTGACAAGTATCGACCAACTGGTTTTTGCGACCAGATAGCTTAGAGGTGTCTTGTTTGGCTTCCAAGCGTTAAGCCTTTTTATAGGATCTTCTGATCGTGGCCATGGCGCGAGAAGAAAAAGGCTCTGCCGGTTGCCATCAACAAGAGCGTAGCATCCTTTGCATCAATAACTGCGGATTCTTTGGCAGTCCCACGACCCTTAACATGTGCTCCAAGTGTTATCGAGATCACGTTCTCAAGTCGTCGCAAGCCGAAGAGGCTTCGTCAGCTTTATCAGCACCGTCTAGCAGTTCGACAAAGCCTGCAGGTATGTCATCTCTTACACCCGTTTACAAGCATATCGCCTCATGCATTCACATGTATGGTTTCCACCGTTGTAGTCATGCATACTGTCGTTACTGGTCAGTTTTGAAGATGTCTGATGTGCGTTGTTTAAGGGATACGTCGCACAGCGTGTGAATCTCGTTGCTCACTTACGTCGTGTACTTAGAAGACTTCTAGTTTCTGTTGTTGTTTTTTTTCTGATATGTTGAACTTTTTTATCTCTGCAGCTCCATGCGCTGAGAGAGTTTTTTCTCCCTCCTTTCCAGAGGCTATGGAGGCTGGTTCGTCTAGGGTGACCTCGTGTCCTGCGACCAGCGTTTCAGCGAGCGCAGCTGCAGTGGACAACGCAACTGCATCCGCAGCAGCTGCTTCTTCAGCGTGTGCTGCTTCCGCTGCTGTAGCCGCTGCTCCACCGGAATCTCATCCACCTGCTAACCGTTGTCATGTCTGCAAACGCCGAGTCGGGTTGACAGGGTTCAAGTGTCGTTGTGAGGGTTTGTTTTGTTCTCTCCACCGCTACTCAGACAAGCATGATTGCTCCTTTGACTACAAGGCTGCTGGTCGTGAGGCTATTGCGAAGGCCAGCCCAGTGATCAAGGCCGACAAGATAGACCGTATCTGAACATATTGTGTCTCGATTTGGCATGCTGTGGCGTTACAACTGAATGGAGGTGGTGGCTCGATTGTGGCTGCGTTGGTGAGATGTTCATATGTTCATTGTGGTTGATCTCTGGGTGACTGGATACGTGGCTAGCTTTTGTTGTGCATACGGTTTTGTGTGGAGGGCTATGGTATGGGTTAGTCATAAGCACTATGTGCTGCTATGGCTGTGGCTTATGTGTTTGTATTCAATTACTAGTTATAGGGGTCGTTCAACGCTTGAGAAATCACATTGCTCAACCCAGCAAGGACCAGTAGTGGCTGTCCTGACTGACCGAACGGTACACTGGCTCAACCAAGCTCTGCCACGGACTGAACAAGACACACAATCTCAACCAAACCCAGAGCAATCCGAACCGCGATTCCAAGGCAATTCCACAGTGCATCCCTCTGCCTGCTTGCATTCCTCCCTTCACCTTTTTGCCTCCCTTCCACCATGCATGCCTTATGAAACTGCATCGCAGTTCCCAAGACACCTGCAGCGCACATGCCAAAAGAGCATTGCAATTCCCGGCTGAAGCATGCTGCTGGTGTATGCCCTCCCTCGTCCTTGTCAGTACAAGAGACACGCCACTTTTCCCATGGGTTCTGGACTCTCAGCTGATATTGGATTCACACCCACACCATTTGTAGCTTTCTTCCGACGTTTTATTGAAGCATCGTTGCTTGCCTTGGGATCAGGCACCTTCTTGACTCATCCTTCCATCGGGAGAAGGAAGCGTGCGTCGGTCCCTCGTAGTTGCTGCGGTTGTGTTCACAGGCCATATCATGCCGAACGTAGGGTAGATGACAGTGACAAATTTCCAGTCACAACTGTAAAGCCTCTGACCCACGCACGGTTCTGCTGGAAGGACACGCAACTGTCGTAGCGACTACCTTCCGTGCCTTCGTTTTCACAAGATGTACCCTCCTGCTGGCTAAGCCATAGATTTATCGAAAAAGTTTGCGGGATGGACTTTCTCTTGTCAATCCCCGGGCTGGAAATTTCGATGCCAAGCTTTGCAGACCTGCTTCCAGTCGCTGGGCTTACGACTACGATATCATGTCTAGCGTCTGGAATGTTGATACTGAACCATCTTCGCTCTTACACAAAGCCAGATGTATGTATGTAGCTGGATCAGCTTACAGGTTTACCTTTCCCTACACAGGCGACCGAACAGACCAGATCAACGAGCCAATCGTCAAATTTGAAGCGTGAAACGAGATTTCGAAAGACTACTGATGGAGTTGGACTGGGTTCTTGCGTGACTGCAGGAGCAAAAGTGGATAGTAGCATGCGTCTTCATGCCTCCCCTCTACTCCCTCACTGCGGTAATCCTCTCCCGAATCCCTTGCTTCCAGATGACTTAACCAAATTAAACCGTTTTTTCGTTGCAGTCGAATTTATTATGACTTCTTTGAACTCTCTTGCTGGTACTGCCCCGATTCTCTGAGTAACCTTAGTTCACTTGTGCTTGTTTCTCATGTTGTGGACTCTGCAAGCAGTATGTTTCTCTGCATGAGCCGCACTGGCGCTTGCTCTTACTCCTGGTCCGGGAGTGCTATGAGTCAGCTGCGATTTATTCCTTCGCCATGTTCCTAATTTCTTGCCTGGGTGAGCGCTTGTTGTGGCTACAATCTGTGTTGGTATGAATTTCAAGCGCGGTCATAGTGTTTCCGTTTTGCTTTTAAGTTTCTGTAGTTTTGATGGTCGACGATGCTGCTATGTTTTATGTTTTATGTCTTTTGATTTGTTAGCGTTGTTTGTAATTGGTTTTGCGTTAGCGTTGTCCGTCATTGGTATTGCAAAATAGCGATGCATTTTGTCTGGTATAAGGAGTGCGTGCACTACAAGCACCACCCCTGACTATGACCTCAATTTTATATCTCAATCTCCACCCTTCCTCCCATGCCTCCATCCCTTGTCGCTCTTCTACCACTCTCACCAGGTGGTCAAGAGCGTACCATCTGGAAGCTGTCAAGAAGCACTTACCAGCCCTTTGCTCGATCCTCAAACCCCCCTCGCAGTCGTCGCGCACATCCAAATCCACCCATTCAAAACTCCTCCCATACAGCAGTCTCACCACTCCCTGCAAACCCTCTACCACCGGATCACACCACGCAGAAAGCCATCTTCACTCCGTCAATCTTTTCGGCTTGGCAACAAACCACCTTCTCAGATTCCTCCAGGTCTGTGGGTCCCTCGGTCACACGCAAGGCAAGACCGAAGAGGTTTATTCAAGAGTGCATCCTTGAAGAGCCGCTACTGGAAGAGGATGCTGAAGCTGAGGAGCCGTCCTCTTTATCCTCGCCTACTACTGACCGTCAGCCTGAATCCTTGACTGGGGAGAGTTTTACTGTGCAGCATTGGTTAAGGGATGCTGAAATCAAGGGTGTTTACAGTCAGGAGGAAGGGCATGATGACGGCAAATGGAGCAGATTCTTGAGAGGAATGGCAGGGAGTGGGCGTTGGGTGAGGAGGAGGGAGGAGGAACGCAGGGGGGCAGGAGGACAGAGGTGGGAAGGCGTGTTGGAACAAGGAGCGGAATACGGTGGTGATGTTAGTGGTGGCAGTGGCGAGGGTAGCAGTGGTGGCAGTGGTGCTAGCAGTGGTGGCAGTGGTGGCAGCAGTACAGGTAATGTTGCTGGTGGCAGTAGGGGCCGGGGTGGTGCTGATGTTTGGGCTCGTGCCGGTTCCAGTGGTTCAACTGCAGCAGCATCAGCAGCAACAACAACAGGCCCAATCAGAATGCATGTACCCTCCCATTCTGAAAGGATTTTTTCCAGGCAGAAAACAGACACTCTTAGTGCCAGGCACCAGAAACCCCTTCCATACCGCACAGCACCACCCTCTCACTCCGCCTCTGAGTCGACATGGCCAAGGGAAGGGGTAGCTGGCGGAGCAGTGAGACAGCAAACACCACAGTATGCAGACAGCGAGGCCTGCACACGCGAGGATGAGGGCTATTGGTCTTCCACTGACGCAGATCTTGAGTCGGGGCAGGGCGAGGGCGTGGGTGCGGGGTGCTGGGTGTCTGTGCGGCAGGAGGGCAATCTGGGAGAGCTGGGGTCGTCAGGATATGACTGGAGAAGTGGTTCTGCTGCAGGTGGTGATGAAGAAAGGGCAGGAGAAGCAGGACGGCGATCAGGAGGGCGGGGAGGAGGAGGAACAGCAGCAGCAGCAGCAGCAGCAGCTGCATCCGCTGCTGCAGCACCACGTCCACCACCAGGAGTGGGAGTGGCAGCAGCGGTAGCAGTGTCATCCGGAGCAGCAGTGTATGTGCACCCTGTGCCGCTGCGATGGTTGCTACCGGAATGGGTGCACGGGCAGCAGCTGTTTCAGGAGTGCAAGTTCGGCATAGTGCTGTATGTGAGTTGTTGAGTCGGGTAAAGGCTTTCTACGTTTGCAATAAATACTTAGGATTTCTTGAGTGACTGAGGCAGCTCCTTCATGTACTTACGTTGTGAACCCATGCTCACCCATGTTCAACCCATGATCACCGCATGCTCACCCCATGCTCACCCCATGCTCACCCCATGCTCACCCCATGCTCACCCAGATGGTGATCAAGCCAGCATGTGCCCTGCTGCAGGTCGTGTTTGGCCCGCTTGGACTCTACAAAGAGGGAGACTTCAGTCCATACTCGCTGTAAGATAACCACCGACGCCACCGTGTGCCGTTGCTTACACACATATGCAGATACGCTTAGACACACACGTCCACGCATCCATGCACGCACGCACACTGGTGCTGCGCGCATCACTTGAAACCGTCACTGTGCGAGTGGTAGCACCAGTCTCGTAGTATGCATGGGATTCTTGGTACTCGGATGTGGTGCTGTAGGGTGCTGTGGTGTTGACATGGTCATGCACTGAGAGGCTCAGAGAGGAATGCATACCCTCGTAAGTGGTGATACATACGAGCAATCGCTACTTATCCTGTAACCTCTTCATGCCTTCACCCTAGCTCCCAAAATTTCACCTTCCTCTCTCCTTCCCCCCCACCCCCCCAACACACCACCCCATCCCCACATTCCCAGCTACCCATACGCAACGCTGCTGATAAACCTCAGTCAGATGTATGCTCTCTACTGCATAGTGGTGTTCTACCACGCCATTGGCCACTACCTGGCGCACATCCGCCCCTTGGGCAAGTTCCTCGCCATCAAGGGCGTCATCTTCGTCACCTACTGGCAGTCTGTCCTCATTGCTGCGGTGGTCTTGTTCCTGGGGTTGGCTTCTGGGGGTGCGAGCCCGCTGCATGGCTTGGACTGGCAGGATGCGGTGCAGGACTGGCTTATCTGCGTGGAGGTGAGACGGGGGATTGAACGGGGTTTCACTTTTGAATCGGCTCTTAAGTCACTTCTGGGGGTGCGAGCCCTCTGCATGGCTTGGACTGGCAGGATGCGGTGCAGGACTGGCTTATCTGCGTGGAGGTGAGACGGGGAATTGAACGGGGTTTCACTTTTGAATCGGCTCATAAGTCACTTCTGGGGCTGCAAGCCCGCCGCATGGCCTGGAGTGCCAGGATGCAGTGCAGGACTGGCTTATCTGCGTGGCGGTGAGGGGCGTTCTGGGAAGGGCTTTGGTCGCCACTCAATCTTTTTTTCTCTCTCTTTTTTTTTCTTGGAGCGAACAGCTGCATGGCTTGGAATAGCAGGGTATGGTAGCAGGTCTGTCTGTCTGTCTTAACTGCATTTGGGCCTAATGAGGGTTGGGAGAGAGGAAGGAAGGATGGTGTCAAACATGTGGGTGTGGTGTGGATGCCATCAATGATTTTTTCGCTCTGTTTTGAAATCTTTCTATATTTTCAACCCTAGCCCTAGATTCCGTTCACGACAACACATGCTAAAAGCTGCCGCCACCACTTGACCTACCCTCCTTTCCCTTTTCACCCATCCCCCTTCCCATTACCTACTCCCCATTCCCTTCCCCTATTCCCGTTCCATTCCCCTGTGCCCCTTCTTCATTCCCCTCTCATTGCCTGTGCCTCCCTCAGATGGCAGCAGCAGCGCTAGCCAACCACTGGACCTTCCCAGTCTCGCCCTACACACTCCAGTCTGAGTCAACAGAAAAAATCATTCCCCCTGGCGCCTTCTCTTCCCCTCTCATTGCATGCGTCTCTCTCAGATGGCAGCAGCAGCGCTGGCCAACCACTGGACCTTCCCAGTCTCGCCCTACACACGCTCCCGCCTCGCTCCTGCACGCATGCAGCGCCTGCCAGCTGGCGTCGTGGCAGTGCTCGCTGACATGGCGGACCCGTCCGCCCCGCTGGACCCTGAAGAGATCCTGGCGAGCGAGGTGATTGGCCGAAGCCTGTTCACGGGCAGCACGGCTGCTGCTGGTGCTGCTGTTGTTGATAGTGAAACTGCTGCTGCTACTGTGGCTTCTGGAGGTCTTGGTAGTGGTGGTGCTGGCGGGTTTCGAGTAGCGGGGATGGGAGGGGAAGGAGGGGCCTCAGGAGGAGGGAGAATAGGAGATGGGAGGGACAGAAGAGGGGGTGGAATGGGGGCTGGAGGAGATGCTGATGGGAGAGGAGACAGTGGAGTAGAAGTAGAATGGAATGCAGGAGGCAGTGGGGGATTGGCCGGTGCTCTAGCTGCAGCGTCACGCGTTGTTGGAGCGCCGTTTCGGAGAGACAGGCGAGAGGATGCATGGGAATACGCGTCTGACTACTTGGGAAGGAGGGACATGGAGGTTTCTGAGAAGATTCATGATGTCTTTGTCGGCGGTGGCACTGATGTGAGTCACCAAGTCCCTTTCTGCTAGATACTAGATACTCCCACCCTCCAATTCGTTCAGTAGCTGTCCTCAACCTTCGACTACCCTTCCACTACCCTTCCACAACCCTTCCACTTCCCTTCTTGACCCTGTGCTTTCCATGCTCCCACGTTCTTGCCTCCTTGCTGTGCCGTACCTGCACCTTCTCCACTCGTTATGCAGACGCAAGTTGATGAAAGCAGCACCACTATGTCCCTACCAGCACCACTTCTTCCCATCCACACGCCCCTAGCCCTACCCCCTGCAGTATCACTACTTGGCTTGGCAGGATACGCACCCAGCATTGCAGTGTAACATGCAACCCGTCCAATCTCCAACCCCCAATCCGCACCTTCTTTCCACCCTCTTCCTATACACCAAACCATGCATGTGTAACTGCATCCTACCCCCTCCATCCTACCCTCCCCTGTCCCAATTCCCCCCTGTCCCACCAACCACCAAATCATGGCGTTTCCCCAGGCGTTTCAGGACATGCAGGCAGCAGTGCAGCGGGGCATGCAGCCCATATCCGCCGCAGTGGAGCCGCTCACAGCAGCGGTACAGCCCTTCTCTGCTGCTGTCACCAGCGCCCACCAGCAGGTCGCCTCCACGTGGCACCAGCTGCAGGCGTCCCTCCCTGCCCTCCCTGCTGCCTTCCTCCCTGCGGTTGCCAACTCTAGAGGGAATGTGAGGGATGGAGGCGTGGTGGAGAGGAGTGGGCGTGTGCGGGGGAGAGGGGGTGGAGGAGGTGGTGGGTGTGGGGCGGATGGCAAGAGGTGGTCGGAAGATGATATAGGGATTGTGTTTCGCGGCAGGGGAGGGGAGGGAGGGGCGGTAGTGGGAATTGAGGCTCAAACGATCGCGGGAAATGGTGGGAGAAGGGCGCTTGGTGCAAGGGTGATGCGGAATGATGGAGGCTGGGTGAAGGCAAGGCATGGGGAGGACTGGAAGCATGGGCCGACAGGAGGCGGCGGTCATGAAACGATCAAAATATGTGCTTTAGATGCGAATTCAACAGTCCTTCGTGTTGGAGTGGGATGTGATAGGTGTACAGATAGGCCCGTCCGACGTAGTCGCAGCAACGAAAGTGTTGCGGGGGAGGCCCTGTATTCTTTGTCGTAACACCACCTTCCCTGCTTATCCTCCGTTCTCTCGGGTATCAGAGTGCGCGGTGAGAGAGTTACTGTATTTCTCCGTGTCCTTTTCCTAGATACTGTTGCATGCCAAGCTCTTGTCAAGACATAATATTTGGACACCGTCCGTGCTACACTCTTATCATATCACCGAGCACAGACATACGGCCGTCATTCTACATGCCCATATATAGAATCATGTTTCTGGTTCCGATAATGGCTGGGCAGAGGTTTGAGCTTGGTTGTGCGTTCTTGGTAAACCATTTTCCACCTCCTGAGGTCGAAACACAGGCTGCCTGAAACTAAACATAAGTTATTTGTTGTGTTGTGAACAACAGCAAAATATTTGCTGGATAGAGGAGTCTCCAAGGTTCAGATGGTAAGTTAGTATCAGATGGTAAGTTCAGGGTCGAAATTAATGGACACTGAGCGCATTGAAGCTGGTTATGTTAGCCATGGCGGCAAGCTACGTTCAGGATGAGTTGTTTGTACGGTATTATCATGTATTACTTCTTCCACTCAAAATTTGTGCAGATGATAAATGTGTGGTTGTAACGCAGCACAATCGCGTCAGCCTTTGAGCAAAAAGTGTCTAATGGTGAAGTGATTCCGCCGGGGTAATTACATTCTGGGTAACCAACATCGAGCCCGCTGACGTCAAAAGTCACCTACGTGGCTCGATGGTACCCGTCAGATCATGCGCGCCCCTTGGTGGTACCCATCTTCCCTCCGTGGTACCCATCTTCCCTGCGTGGTACCCATCAACTGTGCGTGAATTCCCTGACTGGTACCGCAACATTTCAACCGAGCTGTACACCGTACAACAAGGCTTTCAATGCGTTATTCACTATATTATACCAACGTTTTCTGTCTGCAATTGAACATTAATACATTTGAACATTTATACCTTTGAACATGCCTTACACTGGACAGAGTGCAACCTAGAAGAAATCAACTCCCCTTCTAAAATCCTCACGTTACCTCCGAACCTTTGTAAGCTCACACCACTGAGCGATAGGTATCGTGAATCTTATGACCATGTTTCTCAGCGCGCAGTTGGTAATCTAAACAAATTTCATAAGGTTGTATGCAAATAAATTAAGCATGTACCCCTACAGCTAAATAGAAAAGCATAAACAAATAATACGTACATTCGTTGGTTTCAGGAAACAAAACAATACCCACTAATGAAAATCAAATAATCTTAAGTCAATATATATATTACGTGTCAGTTGATTGTTTGTTATACGGATGTTACTTTTTGTGTTTCGGTTGATGCAATCTATTAGTTTGGATTTAAATTATAGCACGTTATAATGTGGATGTTTATGAGCCAAAAGAAATCTACACAATTAATGTTTTCCTTTTTAAGAATCCAACTTTTCTTCTACACTTTATTATAGGTAATGCGCTTGAAAATTTGACCCGATTATTGAGGAAAGTAGAACATGAATGATTGACTAAGGAATGGAAGTGATACAAATATGCAACCCTAGAAATGTGTACCCCATATAGGCTACCCCACTATAGCCTACACAATATTATAATTTGACACACCCCCATAGGTAAAGTGGGGGAGAACAAGGGGTCACAAGACCAGTCAAGCAAACCAGACAAAGCTCATGGTGGATCACAACGTCACCACACAGTTCGAGCACAAGGTCAAGGCCACAAGGCCAGTTCACATGCAGGAGTACACATATATATATAAGGCTAAACAAGCAAGAGCAGGCAAATATATATGTAAGAGTACAAGCAAGGTCAAGGGGTGAGCAAGTGAGGCAAGACAAGCACAAGACCCAGCTGAGTGCAGAAGCGCTGATGATCACAAGGCGGAAGTGCCTTGGTGAAAACATCAGCAGTGTTGGCCTCAGAGGCCACGTACGCAAGTCGCAACTGGCCACGCTGCTGCAACTCACGAGCAAGAAAGTAGCGGAGAGCAATGTGCTTCGTTCTGTGCTCCAGGCGCTGCTCCCGACACAAGGCCAGCATGGCCTTGTTGTCTACGTACAGAACTGGAGGAGAACGAGGCGGCTCTCCGAGGTCAGTCAGCAGGTAGGTGAGCCAGCGAAGCTCCTATGCAGCCATGGCCCCGGCGTATATCTCAGCCTCACAACTGGAGCCGAGAACAGAAGACGAGCGAGTAGCCCGCCACGAAACAGAGCCGGAACCAAGACTGAAGGTGTAACCCTGTGACGACCGCTGCGTAGCCTGGTCGTCAGCCCAAGAAGCGTCCGCGTGCCCAGTGAGGACCACTGGACTCCGCCCTCCAAGCACTAGCCCCATGCCCGACGTACTGCACAAGTAGCGCAACACCCTCTTCGCTGCAGCCATGTGCTCTGGTCTGTGTCTCCCAGGAGCAACATAGCGTGCAAGAATGCTAAGAGGGTATGCAAGGTCACGTCGTGTGCAGGTCATCAGGTACATGAGACAGCCAACAAGCTCTGGGTACGGGCCACTCGACTCTACGGACTCATCCGAAGGCAGAGCTGAGAGCGAGTGGTGAGTAGACAGAGGAGTGGCCTGAGGCGAGGAGTACGTGAAGCCGAAGCGCTGAAGGACCTGCTACACCACGTGTGACAGAGTCAAGGTAATGGTGCGGCGTGTTCTGTCCCGGGTGATCTGCAAGCCAAGGTAGCTGTGCAGTTCACCCAGGTCTGTGCACGTGTGTCTCTTCTGCAGCTCGGACTTCACGTGGGCAAGTCCAGTCGTGTCAGCTGTGGCAAAGACCAAGTCGTCGACGTATACGAGGATGTAGAACGGCGGCAGAGAGGTGTCGGTGCGTAGAAACAACGACGGGTCAGCAGTAGAGGGAGCAAACCCAAGAGCCGCAAGCGTAGTCCTCAGTGTGTCGTGCCACTCGCGCGGTGTCTGGCGGAGACCGTAGACTAGCCGTCGGAGGCTCCACTGGGTGCCAGGAGGGAAAGTCCTAGTGAAGCCAGGTGGACGGCGCAGCCAGATCTCCTTGTACAGGCTACCCTACAGGAAAGCAGTGCTGAAGTCAAGGGAGTGAAGCTCGTAGTCACGCTGAGCGGCTATGTGTAGCAGCACCCGAAGAGTGGTCATCTTCGGGGTGGGAGAGAAGGTCTGAAAGTAGTCAACTCCTTGCCGCTGATTGAAGCCACGAGCCACGTACCGCGCCTTGAAGACAGGTGGAGAGCCCGGCGGCCACTTCACCCTGAAGATCCACATGCCACTGACGATGTTCGACCCACAAGGAGGAACCGCGTCAACGTAGGTGCCTGTGGACTTCCAGGAAGCCATCTCTGCATCCATAGCTGCCTGCCACTGAGAGGAGTAGGGACCCTCTACGGCCTCCGCGTAAGAGCGCGGAGTCGGGATGTCTAGTGCATCCGGGTCTCCCTCAGGGGTAAGCAGTACGGACGCGAGATGAGGTGAAGTAGCAGCCAGACACTGGAACTCCTCCTGCCTGTCCTCAAGGACGTCCGTGTCAAGAGCACACTCACCCCTGACGGACGGAGGACAGACAGACGCAGACTCAGCAACAAGACTAGCAGCGTAGTCTAGACGACAGCGAGCAGAAAAGTCGACGAGCTTAGCAACAAGAGAAGACGCAGCAGTGGACTCAAAAGAGGGGTCAGTGACGACAGTAGCGAGGAGACACGTGACGGTAGGACTGGCAGCACGAAGAGAGTCCGACTCCGGGTCGGCAAGTGCAAGAAGAGAGGACTCAGGAGGAGAAGGCAAAGGGACACGTAGAGGAGCAGTGGACAGACGCAGAGACATCCGGTGCGTGCCAGGGACAGGAGGAGGACGCTGACGCGAACTGCGACCACTAGTGCGAGCAGCACGAACAGGCGACGCAGGACGAGACGCAGGCTCACGACGCTCAACAAGACCTCCAGTAGGACCAGTGTAAGGAGAGGGAGCAGGCAGTGGGGAAGCGGGCGGTAACTGTGACTGTGACTGGACAGGCAGTGGACACTCTACAGGAGGAGAAGGACCAAGAACCTGCTGAAGGAGCGGAAGGAAGTACGGCCGAGGCCGCGCGGCGACTCCAGACACAGCAGGGACAACACCAGCACCCTCAGCGGCAGCACGAGCGCCAATAGTACCTCTAGCTGCAGGACCTCCAGTAGTACCAGCAGCACCCGCAGCAGGACCACCGCCAGGACTGACAGCAGTAGCCTCAGCGCCAACACCCTCAGCAGCTCCAGCTCCAGTCGTACCCGCAGGCCCAGCAGCTCCAGCACTCCCAGGACAAGCACTTCCGGGACCGGCGGCACATGCACCCGCAGCGGCTCAAGAAGCTCCAGCTCCAGCAGTACACCTCCAGCGCCGGGCAAACCACTCCCGCAGCTCCTGTGAAGAGAGTGGCTCCCGTCGAGACGAAGCACCCGGAAAACCTCCAGGCCCAGCACCGCCAGGCGCCACACGAGCAGGTCTAGCGGCCGCTGGCTCCGCACCACCAGGCTCAGTAGCTCCAGACGCAGCACCCCCAGGCTCAGTAGCTCCAGACGCAGCACCCCCAGGCTCAGCACCCCTAGTCGTAGCACCCTCGGGCTCAGCACCCCCTGTCGTAGCACCCCCAGGCTCAGCACCCCCAGTCGTAGCACCCCCAGGCTCAGCACCCCCAGTCGCAGCACCCCCAGACTCAGCACCCTCAGGCTCAGCACCCACGCGCGCAGCACCCCCGGAGTCAGCACCCCCAGGCTCAGCACCTGCAGCAGTACCAGAGTCACCAGCAACCTCGACCGGCTCGACTGCGTCTACCTGGGACACACCTGAAGGGGCAGGATCCTGAGGGGGGAGGGGGTCTACCAGGGGGGGATCTGGCACAAGGAAGTGCGGTGGCAGGGGGAGGGAAGGAGTGCGGTAGGGGAAGAGGCGGTAGTAGGGGACTGACTCGTCGAACATGACGTTCTGGGAAGACAGAACATGATGAGAGGTGGGGTGGTAGAACTGCCACCCAGGGGCGTCTGGGGGGAAGCCAAGGAAGACACAGGGAGCAGCACGAGGGGACAGCTT